GTTGGGTCCCTTGTTTTTTTTTTTTTAAAAAAAGAAATGTATGTTCTTTACTCTTTTTTTTTTTTACATGATCCCTCCAGAAGAAAATAGGCTGTTTATTTTGTAGCTTGAATCATTGCTTAGTTTTATTTGTGTCAACTTCTTTCAACCTATGTCAGTTTGTCCTTTACAAAGTTAGTCAATTCTTAGCTTCACTTGTAGATCAATTTGCCAAGTGTCTCAGTTTGATTTCCAACTCCTAAAGTGAAGAAAGACAGAAGATCCTATGGACTGTTTGAGGCCAATTGAGTCACCAAGAAGTGATTGTTCTTATACATATTATTTCCAACCTTTTCTTCTCTGTGAGGCTTCCTTGTCCCCTAGGCTAATCCTGAACCCCTGTACTTGAGATCCTCCTTGTCTCACCTTCCTCTGTCTGTTACTTGCCCTGGTTTTCCCTGATTTAAGATACGGCATTTTCATCATCTAGTAGTTAGGAAAGAAGATTATACCTGGGTACTAACTTCTGAAATTCTAATTCAGTTAAGCTGCAACCTTACCCAAGGAAACAAGTGCAAAGGATTTAAGAATTTATGGTGGTTGTGATGTGATGGCAAATATGCCTGTGGCCCCAGTTGCTAAGAAGGGTTTGACTTGGAGCCCACAGGACAACAGCCTGACCCTCCCAGGAGAAGAAAAAAAAAAACCTTGACCAAAATTGTCCATTGACTTCAGTTCTGAGCTCACAGTTTTGCTCATTGGTTATTTGGAACAGATCTATAATACTATATGATAGTACTAGATTTTACCATTGCCTTAAAAGAAATTCAGGTTTTAAAAAATATTATTTATGTGCTTACGTAGAGTTCACAGCACAAATTGTAGGAGTCTGTTTTTCTTTTACTACCATGTCTTAGGGACTGAATTCAGGTCATTGGGCTTGATGGCAAATTTACTTTCTGAACCATCTCAGAGCTTCAAGATCTGCTGCCCTCTCCACCCTCTCTGTTGTTTTGGGACAGGGTCTTGCTGTGGAACCAAGCTGGTCTTAAACCCGAGATTCTTCTGCTCAGCCTTGCTATTACAGGTGTGTCCACCACACCTGACTTCACTCTTTCTCTAGGAGAGTATCTCTAACTTTTTAGAGAAAATAGGTAAAAGTTAAAAGACTATTTTCTTGAACAAAGCACTAGCATTCTCTTTGAAGCTGCTTAAGTTCCTGACTTTTTTTTTTTTAAGTGGGTGATTAGAAAAAGATATGTTATATGCTGAAGAACTGACTTTGGTACTAATTTCGAATGAATAAAAATCTAGTTTTTATTTTGGACACAGAAAAGTATGGGTTCATTTGGTATCTGAGATTTAAATACCTATCAGGTAGATTTTTAAATATGAATAAATAGAGTTTATGAAGTGTGATCTTTTTCAATTCTAAGTAAACAAACCTAACTCTATTCTCTACCCTCTGTCTCCATGCTCTCCTAACTCCTGTTATGTCCTGTGATGTTAGCAAAGTGGGGCAGTCTCAGCAAGACTAAGGATGCCTTCCAGCTTTTGAAACCTTATATTTTACACTATACCCGAACGATAGCTAGCTGACGAGAACACTTTAAAAATAGCAGACTCACGGACAGGTGACAGATGTCACCCTGGCAGCACCAGACTGCAGTAACAAAATCACCAGATGTCACACGCTTAGTCCTGTTTTCACAGCTGATTCAACAGCAGCATTTGTTGGACAAAAGCAAGCAAAAAGAAATGGCCTCCTGAATTTAGCATCAGGGTTTCTTCTGCTGCTACACACACTTTCTCTTTCCCCCAAATCCTGTAATAAGTATTAAAGTTTAGTGCACATTGCACTAAGAAAACATTTTAAAATGATCACAGTCTTAAGAAAGAAAGCTTCATGCATGCTGTCTTCAGTGATCTTATTTTTTCCATGTAGCTAATTTTTATTCAATGAAAATAGATTGCATTTATACTCTAAACACTACTTTTTCCAAGATATAAACTAAAAAGTCATATCTAACTTTACCAAAAACATTTATTTAATAGGAAACCTAGATTATATCCAGGTTATAGATTCTAGGGATCCAGTACTGACACAGAGCTCCTTATGAGACTTACGTTAATTTTTATCTAAAGACCCATTGGAAAAAAATTAGGGGGAAGACCAGGAAAGGTAAAAACTACTGTGGTTTTTTTTTTTTTCCCTAAGCAGCAGAGCCTTCTCCTGTAAGACCCTGTCCAAACTTTTTGCTCTGCTTCTTAAGGAAGACAGTTGCAAGTGACCAATGAGGCTAGAGGACAATAACTAGGAAGCAGCCTGCTTCTTCTCAAGTTCATCTTGACAAGGTGGAATGTCCTAGCTCTTCAAGAAAAAACTCACTCATGTCATGTAACTGTGCTTAAGTTCTGAGGCTAAATGGACAACATTTTACAAACATAGAAACCTTATCTGATGCAATGTCAGTGAAATGTGTAATTCTTTATTATAAAGTTAAATGAAGAGCAACTAAATGTGTGGTTACTCTATGTCCTTGACAACCTTTCTTTATTGTAACAATATTAAGGACCATTGGTCCCTTTTAAGAACTCATACTGTCCTTTGAATATTCATTGGTTAAAGATTGAAGAGAATCTGCTTTTCATGTTTTGTTTAAACAGGATCTCACTATGTAGCGCTGACTGGTCTAGAATTCACAGAAATGGCCTGTGCACCTGTCTCTGACTTTTTCATGTTATTGCTTATTTTTTTGAGATGGTTTCACTGTGCATCTCAGGCTGACCTTGATCTTGTGATTCTTTTGCCTCTGCCTCCTGTGTGTGGGTTATAGGTGTGTGCTGCCATCTAACTAAAGAGATTCTGTTTTCCTTAAGTTCTAATGGAAAATGAGTTGAAAGTCTTGATGGGATTTCAGTGTAGACTTTCCAGCAATTGGTGATTGTGGTTGATACCCTAGAATATGATGAAGCTAAATTAGAGGATATAACTTTTAGTCTTCGTGGATGTTAGTTTTAGATGTAAAGAACATTGATTTAATTAACTGAAACCATAATGTAATTCTCTTACTGAGTCAAGTCTTGCTAGTAACAAACTTTTGTGAAGTAGTTTTCATTAAGATGTAGGTAGGAGACAGCATCGTATATGGTGTAGACTATAAGGTAGGAGACAGCATCGTATATGGTGTTGACTATAATTCTCAGAGACTCTGAAGTGACCTAGGAAGTAGAAATGCATAATAAGACATGTGGGACATGCCCACAAGTGTAGTTATGTTAAATATGTCTTCTAAACAAGGGGATACTTTTAAACTCCTAGTAATTAGCTTGTAGCTAATATGAAAACAGTTTTTCTACAGAAATCATATATTCAAGAATGTTTTATTATTCTTTGACAGTTTCATTGATTTTTTTCCCTATTTACACACACACACACACACACACAAAGTTGTAAAGTTGAGTGAGGACTTTGGTTTTATTCATTATGTTATCTAGGTTTTCCATGATCTTGAGCTTGGCAATGATGTTTGCCTTCAGTTCAGTTCCCAGTAGCAGTTTAATACCAAATAAAAACTGGGTTCTTTTCAATTACATATAGAGCTGCATTTGTTGTAGGAAAAAAATCAGAAACCTTTACCTATGGTTTTCTCTGTACTGTTCTCCCCCAAATATGATGACATTTATTTAAGCAGTGGCTATAAAGTAAAATGAACATTTTTAGGGCTGTAGGGGTATCTCAGTGGTAAAACATTTGTCTTAAAATTGCCATTTTACTGTGAATTTCATGATAACTCTCAAAGTAGCTAAATATTAAAAGTTTACAGAGTCATACATAGATGGGTTTAATTTTAATTTTTTGATACATCTATCATCTTTGTCTCTAATGATGAAAAAAGCAGCAAATTATTGCATCTTTCATTCTATACCCCTGTGTCTTTCCTTCTGGACTTCTGAGTCTCGCTCTGTCTACCTCCCCAACGCCCCCCCCATGTATATATCTTTCAGTCTTTATTCCAAAGGGCCATTAGTTGAAACATCTGATTCTATTTATTATCTTATAGATCAAGGGTTCAAACTTTGCAAAGGACTATAGAATTTTAGGGTTTACAGGACACAGGCCTCTGTTGACTCTTTGCTTTTGTTCTGTTTTCCAGCCCATTAAAAATGTAAAAATGGTTTTTAACCTCAGAGGTATACAAAAAATAGGAAGTCAACCAGTATGAGCAGAAATTTCAATTCCCATATTATTCATAGAAATGAACACATTTGTCACAAGGTCATACGAGTGTTAGCGGTGAAGCCAGACATGGTAGTGCGTGCTTCTAATGCCAGTTCTTGAGGGAGGCAAAGACAGGCAGGATCTCTGTGAGTTAGGAACCAGCCTGGTCTACATGGTGAGCTATACATCGGCTAGGGCCACATAGTCATGAAAGAAAACAACGTCCCCCCATACAACCATACCGGTGAAAGAAAAGGAGTGGTAGGGCAACTTACAAACTCCTAAATTTTTAGATCAGTCTTTCCCTTACCATATTTGCATAAAATTTGCCATCTTTCTTCATTTTGCTACTCTGGTAATTATGTTGCATTTTTTGAAACATTATGAAACTGTATCTTTTTATTCTCTCTAAACTTCATGTGATATACTTCTCTAAATTTCTTTTTTATGCCTTAATTTGAAGGGCATAAATAAATGATCATTTAAATAAAATGCTTATCCAGGAAATAGACTTATTTAAATTTTAATATGTGAGATGTACAAATTTCAGACTATAATGGAAGCTTCTTTTTGTTTGGTTGTATTTTGTGTTGAGATTTTGACTTTGTTTTAAGACTTTTCATGTCTGTGTTTTATGAATTGATTTTAAAGTTGTTGTAAATGCTTTGGCCTTGATAGCACTGCTATAAAATTTGTAGTATTTTGTAATGTGTATATTTTATAGTGTATTTGAAATAATTATATTGAACCATGTTTTTGTGTGTATGTGTGCTTAAGATAAAATTGCTTTATTTTCTAGGACGCATGGGAATAAATTTTCATCATCCAGGAACCGATAACATTATGGCACTTAACAGTAAGTCTTCCTATGAGATACTCTATAAAAAGTATCAGTTAGGTTTACAAGATACAGTTTTTGGTTAATTATATTTTCACTGTTTCAGAGTGAAATTACTATATTAGCAGCATCAGCATTACTTGGGTACTTACTAAAAACAAAACAAAAAAAAAAACTCAGGGTCTCCTAAAGACCTACCTGTAGAGTGAGAAACTTTAAGGACGGGTTACAGAAATTTGCGTATTATCAGTCATATAGGTGATTCTGAGTAAGCAAAAGCATGAAAACTCACCTCTCCAAACCCTCTTCGACGGAATGCAATCCTGTGACCTAACTCTGGCCACTGCCTTTGTTTGTAAACAGAGCTTTAAATTAGTAGCAGGAAATATTTCCCAGCTCCCATTCTGTGCCACTAGGTGAAATAATGAAAGAAGGAGGCATAGGGCAAGAGAAAGAGTAGGGCAGAAAACGTGAGTGAATAACTTAACTAATTGTACATAACTCATAATTTTCCCATTATTGTAAAGTAGCCCATAGATGTTTCAAGATGGATATTCAGGGCTTTTCCACTTATGAAATTTGTATACTATAGATGCTAGCAGCTTTGCTGATCAGAAGTGGTTTTGTCAGTATAATTATGGGGTTACATTCTAGAACCACAAAAAAAAAAAATTATTAACCAGAATGTTGGTGATTTGCTCAATGCTTTGGAGAGTCAGGTGGTGACACGCACCCGTAAATCCCAGCACTTGGGAGATAAAGACAGAGCAGGATCAGGAGCTCAAGATTACATCTCTATGTAGAGAACTTGAGGCAGCTTAGGCTATTTGAGCCTAAGCTATAAGAGCACTATGCCTGAATATTTCATATTACCCATTACCCACAACATGGTAAATATTTATATAAACGTGTATATTTGTAGGTTAGAAAAAGGTTAAGGAGGCTACAGCAGAGTTCAGGAGTTACAGCAATCCTTACTGGAGGCAGAAGCAGAGAGCAAAAGATAGAAGCAGTCCTTGCCATAGAGACAATAGAAGGGACCCAGTTAAACTGCTAGAGGCACACAGAGTCTCTAGGTTGAGCCAAGACTGCAGAGGTTAGGTGTGAGACTGTAAAGGCATAAGAAAGGAGCACTCGGAGTCAGAGGCAGATGGATCTCTGTGAGTTAGAGACCAACCTGGTCTACATAGTGAGTTCCAGGACAGTCGGGATTATACAGAGAAACCCTGACTCGAAAGAAGAAAGAGGAGAGAGAGAGAGAGAGAGAGAGAGAGAGAGAGAGAGAGAGCAACCAGACAGAATATATTGAGCTACTCAGCACATAGTGAGTGGTAGCTTTAAAAGAATGGCTGTTAGCAAGCCAACAACAGCACACTGAGCATGAGNGAGGGGAGGGGAGGGGAGAGGAGAGGAGATAGGAGCGATGGGATGCAGTTATACAATGGGGTTATAGCTGAAATGAAGCCCCAGGAACAGCCAAGAGTTCTCAGCCTGTGGGTCCCATAGTGCACACTGGACGTTCAGATGACAGGCCTGTGTCTGTTGTTACCACACCGTTAGGTGTCCTCCTCTTTATGGAATCTAGGTGAAGGAGTTTCACTCCTTGTTCTGGTATGTTCTATATATTCTTGGGCCTGGTTTCTCTGATTCAGTTTTACTATGTCAGTATGCTCACACGTTCCCAAACTTCTTTATCATTTTTGCTTTGGGGAGAGTAAGTTGCTTGTCGATTCGTGTGCTGGGTGGTGTTGGACAGATGTGGTATCTATGTGTACAGAGAGGTGCAAAATCACCCTGCTTCATGTTAGCACTCAAAATGGATTCCAGTGCTGCTTGTAAAGTGAAAATCGTCTCCGGGCGAGGCACAACCTGAAAACTTGTGCAGAAAACAAAAGCCCTGAGCCATCTACCCAGGTTCTTGCCCCTCCGGCATGTATAGACCAGAGTCAGCTTGCTGCTCCAGTATGTATAGACCAGGATCAGCTTGCTCCTCCAGCCTGTATAGACCAGGGTCAGCTTGCCTCTCCAGCATGTATAGACCAGGGTCAGCTTGCCTCTCCAGCATGTATAGACCAGGGTCAGCTTGCCTCGCCAGCGTGTATAGACCAGGGTCAGCTTGCCCCTCCAGTGTGTATAGATCAAACAACTTCACAAGAGAAGCTACACAGAAATCATCTCTTGTCAGGAGGCCTACACAAGCTGTTGACTCTCAGAATTTAGTTTTCTTCTGTCAAGCAAGTGATCCCAATTTCTGACCTCTTACCCTCTCAGGGCTGCAGGCCAATCCTTGGTCCACATGGGGGACACAGTGAGTAAACGCAGAGCTGTGCGTGTTAATCCCCTTTCTTCTTGAGTAAGGGTTTTGAAATACCACTAGACTTAAGGCAGACTTTAGATTCTCTAAAATAGACACTAAAATATTAATAATCTAAAATATTACATATTTCCTTGGATCTGACGCACAGCACTTACCCTAAGTACTGCTTGGTGACACAAGCCCTGATCTGTGCTATGCATGTTTCCTGTTTGGAGGGCCTTGACAATACAAATTCCAAAGTATGCACCTCTCATTTCCTATTTCAGAAAGTATATTGAGATTAGGCTGGGGGGGGGGGCAGGCAGGCGGGGAGGGGGGCTGACCACGGAAGAGTAGTGTGAGAGCACTGTCTGCCTGAAGCAGTGTCTGGAAATGACCTAATTTGACATGATGTGAATTATCCTCTGCAAGAGGGAGAGGATGCAATTTGTTAATTTCTGTGTAGAAAATGAAAGTAAAAGACATCTTCTCTTCAAAAGGTTTTGATTATCTTTGGTTTATAAAATAAGAGCTCATTTATGAGATTTGCACTCTGTACATGTGGCTTAAATCCCCCTTTTAGCATTAATTGCATCTCTTAGAGAAAGGAGGCTGATTAGGTAATATTCAAAAAAGTGTTTTATTGTGTGAATAATGTGTGTGGAGGTGGGGAAGTGTATGCATGCCAGGGCATAGGCGTGGAGGTCAGAAGGCCATTTTGCCAGTATCTGTGTCACACATTGATGGGCTATGTAGATAGTTGGGATTTGAAGGCAGACAAGAGCTTCAGTCTTCATGTGCTTCTCTGGGTGTTCCGGGGCTGACAAATCCAGTCGGCTCCTCAAAATAAACCATTCAAAAAACAGCAACCAGAGTGTGGCGTTTGCACTGCTTATAGTCAGTTCTCTTTCAAAGTCATCTTGACGTGGTCACAATCCACTGCTGTACTGCATGTGGTATGACACACTGAGCCCATACCACCTAGTGACATGGATGTAACATGTGAAGGCATGTTTGTGTGTATAGTATTTATGTAGGGACCAGGTTGGCTTAGAAGTTGAGATTCTCCCACCTCCACCTACCAAATGGTGGTATTTCACCCATGTGCCACCACCATACATAGCTCCATAATTTCTTCCCTTTGTATCCCACACATCAAATGAACCAGACTTGGTTTCTTTGGGACAGTCTGGCAAGCTCAGGCCAGCCTCAGACTCACTGGCCCCACTGGTAACACTCCCACCAGGGCTGGCATTGCAGACGTGCACCCCATTCCCAACAGCACATAGGCACTTTTTGTCTCCTTCTGTTTTCCCTTATCATTTGTCAACCCCAAGTTGTCGTCCTAGGAAGGTCAATTCTTCCTCTCCCTCAGCTTTATATAGGAATGACTGGAATAAAATTAAAGATCACTAAAATTTATGGTGGTGCACACCTTTAACCCTAGCACTCAGGAGGCAGAGGCAAGCAAATCCCTGAGATGAGTTCCAGGACAGCTAGAACTACATAGAAAGATCCTGTCTCCAAAACAAAACAAAACAAAGCTCTCTAAATTTAATAATTCAAAATTTTTGGTCTTTGAAAGGGACAAAATACAAATTTAACTATATTTTTAAATAAGAAAGGGAGTGGCTAAGTAAACAAAGAAGTGATTTGGTGTATGGTGCACACCTGTAGTCCCAGCACTTGGGAGGCAGAGGCGGAAGGAAAGCAGGTTGAAGATCAGCCTGGGCCCACAGTGAGACTGTTGAAAAGTGGGGTGGAGGAACTGTGTGAACGGAGTTCCTCCTTTCTTGCTCTGAACAATCCGTGACTCTGAACTCTGCACAGAGCCACCATTCACAGTGTCCCTCTCTCATTCCTTGGTTCACCCAAACCTGGCTTTCCTCTGGAGATATAACTATACGCTGTCAGCTCTCTTACCTGGATGGGAAGGAAGGTGCCAGAGTGAGCATCCACCCCTGTCAGAGCATGTATGTGGACCAGTTCCCTGGGGTTTGCTGCCCGCCCGAGTGCATGTCTCCCAGTTTCTCTTTTGTTTGTTTTGTTTTCCTTTTTTGGGACAGGGTTTCTCTGTGTAGCCCTGACTGTTGACCAGGCTGGCCTCGAACACAGAGATAGACCTGCCTGTGCCTCCCAAGTGCTGGGATTAAAGGTGTGTGCACCACTGTCTCCAGCTCCTAGTAACATTTAACCATGGGAATCCCCTGCTGGTGTCATCTAGAAGACAGGAAATGAGCTCAGGAGAGAAGCAAAGGACAGCAGTTAATGGAAATCAAGGAATTGGCAGTGAGTCTATAAGCACTTAGGGTATGGGGAGATTGGCAATATTTGTATAAATCCAGAATCAATGTGTGTGTGTGTGTGTGTGTGAGGCAGAGGCAGGCAGATCTCTGTGAGTTCGAGACCAGCCTGGTCTACAAGAGCTAGTTCCAGGACAGGCTCCAAAACCACAGAGAAACCCTGTCTCGAAAAACAAAAAAAACAAACAAACAACAACAAAAAAAGACCCGGTTCATTTCCAGCACCCATATCGGTCAACTCATAGCTACTTGTAACTCTAGCTCCAGGGGGATCCAATGCTGTCTTCTGGCCTCTGAGGATACCTGGACATGTGTGACATTCACTCACACAGACACAGATATAAAAAATAATGTAAAAAAACCTTCAGGTGTGGGGGTTTGAAACAGGGCTTCTCTGTGTAGCCCTAGCCACCCTGGAA